TCTGTACCTCTGTTCTATTGTGTTCATTCGCCAGGCACTAGTTTCAACTCCCACACACCCTAATTTATCCTGAGTTGGCCAGCACATCCCCTGGCACCTTCTTGTTCATCTGGAGTTCGCCCTACTCCCCCGAGCTCATGGTGGCATTTCATCTTCTCTCTGAGTCATGTCATCAACAGCTTTCCTTGTGCTCTGTTCTCTTTGCTAATATGAGGAGACCACCATCCATGTGATGTGCTATGCCCACCATACAACACCTCCCTCAGAGTCTCAGGATTGCATTCTGAAGTGGAGAGCTGACTGCTCGGCCCTCACCATGTATCACAGATAGTCAGTGCCAAACAAAATCGGTGCAATGTAGCATTCACCCTGGAAAGAGTACTTGGTTGGATGACTTGGAATTCAATCTGCGTTTAAATTCTAGCTCCACTCTCCATTGCCTGGGAGGCCTCAAGAAACTCACTTTATCTCTCTAGGCCCCACTTTCTTTGTAAAATGAGGGGGTCCAAATAGATGGTCCCTGTAAGTTAAGGCAAGAACACTAGATTGAGAATCAAGAGACTTGTGTTTGAGTCCTTCTGCTTAGACGCTACATAGCTGTATTACCTTGGGCAAGTCACCCTCCATCTCTGGGCTTTAGTCACCTCTTCAGTAAAGTGGGAGGGAGAGGAGGTGCTGAAATGGTCTGTAAAGGCCCCTCCAAGCTCAAACATTCTATGGTCCTTGATTCAGTGGAAGTAACAATCACAAGAGTCATCAGCTGCACCCTCTCTTCAGACAATCAGTCAACACCAGCTGTAGCCCCATTGTCTTGAGAGTTCATAGGATAATGCACACACATAATTAACCCAAACAGACCTACTTTTGTGAAATACAATTTGAAGACTTCAGCACAAAAGAAGGCTTCTTGGGAGAGCTCCTATACTATTCTAGAGCTTTCAAAAGACCAGATATAAGCCTCATCGGCAGTATCCTAATTAAACTCAATAGCTCACAGATGTTCCCAGGAAATGCACACGGAAGATTTTCACCAAGGAATATACTTTCTGGAAAACAAAACAAGTTGGTGGACATCACCACAAAAGCACATATCAGTCACTTTTTTTAAATTTTGTTTTTAATGTTTCTACAAAGCCACTAGGCAATCCCTGACTGAAGCTAGTCAAATTATGGAATGTTTGAATCACTCAGTGAAAAACATTAATCGTCTTTGAATTTTTTTTTAATTTCAAGAATATTCCCTCCCAATACTTTTAATCACAATAATGAATAACACATTAATAGTCATTTTCTCCTCATTGCCCTGTAAGTACTGTCCTAAGTACTACCAACTCCCTTTGGCCTATGAAGAAGAAACTGAGGGTCAGACAGGTTAAGTGACTTCCCAAAATTTTCCAGATGGTAAATATAAGAGTTGAGCCTCCAATCCAGCTCAGTAGACTTCAGCACCCTTCCCACTATACCATCTCACCTCCTACTTTGGTCTCCCTGCCTCAAGTATCTCCCTTCTGCAGTCCATCTTCCACATAACTGCCAAAACAACTTGAATAAAGCCTGGATCTAACTCTATCTGACTCCTCTATTCCACAAATGCAAATGGCTGGCTTCCTATTGCATTATAGATCAAATATAAGTTCTGTGTTTGGCTTTAATAATCTCTTTATAACTTGACCCCTTATAGACTTATCATTCATTATTTCCCCCCACAAATTCTGAGATCAGCCGAACTAGCCTTTTTTTTCATAACCATTCTTTACCTATAACATTGCATCTCCTGTCCCTTTGTCTTTGTACAGGTTGTGTCCTACGCCTGGAAAAGCACACCTTCTCATCATTGCCTCTTAGAATCCCTTTTTTTCCCTTCAATACTCTGTTTTCCCCTTTAATACACAGTTTGAGCACTGCTTCTGCATGAAGCCTTTCCTGATACCTCTCAAATGAGATAATATAAAATGCTTAGCACAGTGCTTGACACATAGTAGGCATTTAAAAAATGCTTATTCTCTTCCCTCTCCTCTCCACCTCCCTCAAAATTAATTTGTATTTTTTATGTATTATATATAGACTGATAACGTGTATGTTTTCTTCTTCTCTACACTATAAACTTCTTGAGGGCAGGGACTGTTTCACGTTCATCTGTGTCCCCAGTGCCTAGCACAGTTTCTGACACATAACTGATGATTAATCTATTTCTGTTGATTGATCTCTGCTGCTTAACAGCCTGTCAAAACTCAGCTAAAATGTCACCTTTCTCCAAGCTTCTGTGATCTCCATAGTCACTAATTATCTGCCCTCTTTCACCTTGAACAACACCTCATATAAATTCCCTTAAATAATTATGGTGTAATTTTAATATATAAAACCTGGTCGCTAGCATTTATGTTATACTTTAAAGTTTGCAGAGCCCTTTACATGTGTCATCTCATTGGATTCTTAAAGTAATTCTGTGAGGTGAGAACCATTATTGTACCCATTTAACTGATGAAGAAACTAATATTGAGAGAAGCTAAATAACTTGCCTGGCTATAGTAAGTATTTAAGGTGAAATTTGAACTCAGGTCTTCCTGGCTGCAGGTCCAGCAGTCTATTCACTGAGCCATCTAGCTACCCCATGGTTGTATTATAGTTGCCAGCCTGTCCAAATTTCTTACTAGTTTATAAGCTCCTTGTGAGCAGGCGTTATACCTTATTTTTTTTACTTCGGTATCTCTCCCAGTACACAAGATTCTGTATGCAGCAGACACTTTATGGATGTTGGCTGAATTGACATGGAATCCCCATTCTTGTTCCATCTCTTCTCCCCTCTCACCTATCCTAACACACTTTTCTGACTTTTCCAATCCAGTGAAGCAAGTGTCGAATTCCTAACAATTTTCAAGGTGATGATACTAGGGATCTTGTCCTGCCCATCTGAAAGACAGAAGAGGGTAGGGTTTAATCAGTCTGCACACATCGCTGTCATTTGCTGACAGTTTCGTGAATGGCACACTTCCCTCCCTCTCCTAACATTGAGGATGAGATGATGAGATGATAAAACATTGTCAAGAGCCTACTGAAGTTAGGGCTGCTTTTCATTCAATCCCGCTAGTTATTTGGCAGTGGGGTTCTTATCTATTCACCTGTCAATCCGCTCTGTGAAGGCAAGAAGTCTTTTCTCTCTTGTCCTTCCTGTGCTGGCTGTTCTGACAACTGTGGTCACATATTTGGAGCCACCTCTGATGATTCCTCTCAGAGTGAACACCCCTTCCATCTGCTCCCTAAGAAAAGAAGGCTTGAAGGGGATAATAGGTGCCTTCAAGTGTTTGAAGGGCTGCCATGTGGAAGAGGAGAATAAGCCGAGAGAGTAACACAAACTTTATGAAGTGCCTGCTGTTCACAGAGCATTGCTAGGGAATGAGGAAAAGGTAAAGTTTAGATAATGATAGCCAATTTTTAAAAAGGAACTTATAAAAATTGTCTCATAAGAGCTTCACAACAACTCAGTGAAATAGGTCACCAATTCAGAGAATCGTAAGTTCATCAATTTGGAGGTTGGAGAGTTCCACAGTGGCCACTGAGTCCAACTCAGTCATTTTACAGATGAAGAAACTGAGGCCTAGAGAGGCTAAGGAATGTGCATAGCTACCAAAGACCAGAAGTGAAATTTTTACCCAAATTTTGTTGATTCCAGTCTAACACACTCTTCACTATGTCAAGTGCCCTCATAGAGCTTCTAGTCTGATAATGGGCTAAAAAACCAACACAGACAACTAAAATATGCACTGATGAAAAGAACAATACTATTTAAAATTCAAGGGGATAGCTCCTTCATCGTCTCCATCTCTGGTGGAAAGAGTGATGACTCTGGATTCTGAGGACCTGAGTTCGTATCCCATTTCTGACACTACCTTTGTGACCTCATTTAAGTCATTTAGTGTCTCTGGGCACTAATGAGGGAGATGTCTTCTGAGGTCCCTTCCAGTTCTAGAACTAGATCCTATGATATTGATGAAGTGGAGGGAATGACATGTCACTAGATTTGATTGAGGAAGATCAGAAGAACTTTGTGGAGAAGCCAACATTTTGAGCTGTGTGCTTTATATCATCAGCAGAAATTCAATCACTGATGAGAAGGAAGGACAATCTTTTGGGCCTAGTGACCTACAGGGAACAAAGAGGCATGATAAATCAGGGTAGTTCAAGATAAGAAGCCAGTCCAATTTGATTAGAGCATAAAATTGATTTTATATTTATTAGTCAGTATCACGAACTCATCTATTCTCTTCTAATTACTGTTTTCATGCTATGGAAATCTGAGTCATCTGTTTCAGGTCACATTCATGAACATCTTCTGTAGCTGTTTTGCATAACTAGAATACTGTATCCAATGGCCTTAATTCTTTTTTCTTCCATTCAATGTGTTTTTTTTCAATGAATAAAAATGTACCTTCTATCCCACCCACCATCAAATAAGATAATATTTGTGAAGTGCTTCACACAGTGCCTGGAACATAGTAGGCACTAACTAAATAAATGCTTATTCCATTCCACTCCCTTCTCCTTCCTCCCCTTCCCTACATCAAAAAAGTAAGACAAACAAAACATGTGAAGAAGCTATGCCAATTTTGAAGAACATTTCATGTATAATTTATCTAAAAGTTGGGAAACCAGCCACCATTTATATGACAAGTATGAAAAACAAATTCCTATACTGGCCATCTCTGAAAATTTCACACACACACATACATATACATACATATTATATAAATATATATATATATATATATATATGTATATATACATACAGATGGATGGATAGATAGATAGATAGATAGATAGATAGATAGATAGATAGATAGATGTTTTATTATTGCTCCTCTGAAAACAAAATTGTTCATTGGATTAATTAGAATTCTGAAGTCTTTCCAAATTGTTTATCTTTATGGTATTGTTATTGTATAAATTGTTCTGCTCAGACTAATTCTAATTTTACTGAGGACTTTTTTTTCCTTTTCTTCAAGGTAAATAACTACAGTCTAGAAGAAGTCACACATGAAGAAGCTGTAGCGATATTGAAGAACACTTCAGATGTAGTTTATCTAAAAGTTGGCAAACCAACCACCATTTATATGACAGATCCTTATGGCCCACCTGATATTACTCACTGTAAGTACCATCCTCTCAACAGTGGTCATTCCATCAGCTTCCTACCTTGCCTGAATTGGAATGATGCACAACCTTAACCACCCTAGATCATCACCCTTTTTCAGCCAGACAAAAGTCCACTCCAGCTCCCTACCTAGCTGCCTTCTAAGACCTATGTCTCTTGAGGAGATGAGGAAGGTAACAGATGAGGACCCTTAGCATTTCCTCTTTGATCATTGTATTGGAAATGCTTAGTATGCTGTGTAATATGGTGTGATTTTAGTAATTTTTTTTGTACCCATATTTTTAAATTGGTATTTCTCAAGTGCCAAAAGACATGATTAATGTCTCCTGAGAGAAAAATCCTAATGTCTTTTGAGGTAAGATCAGGGTAGCATTATGCTGGAAAAAAGGATGCATGGCCCCAAAAAATGGGACATTCTAATCATGTGAGAAAACAACCCCAAGGGAGGTGTTGGATTTGAACTTTTAAATCACTGCCTTTGATCCTCGATCTCAGAGCTACCATTTTCCTCTGAACTCACTTTTCATTCGCAAGAGAGAAAAAAATGGCATCGACTATGGCTATGGAAGTGGGAGGAGTGCTGGCACTCTTAACAGGCTCGGGCCTCAGGAAGCCAGCAGCTACTTTTGGGGCAGGCCATTGTCTGAATTCTTTGAAAGGTCACTCAGGGCCTCAGCTGATGGATGCTGCATCTTCTGTGACTAGGTATAAACCTATTCTGCCCTTCTAATATCATACTTCAAAAATAGTTTTGGAGCTATCCATAGATAAAATAATTGGAAAATGAAAGGCAGCATTATATCTCAGTAGGAGACTGGGACTCTGAAACCTCAGCATTCTAATTGTGGATCCACATGCCATTAATTAGTGTTGTGGTCTTAAGCAAATACTTTAACCTCTCTCTGCCTGGGATAGCTCTCTAAAGAGAAATATAAGGGCTGACTCGTTACCTGCCCATTAAGTCAGATATTGGTTTGTTTGGTTGTTTGTTTTTTAATGAAGATTCCAAGACTACTTCCAAAGGACATGTGATTCTTTTTGAACCAGGAATGAAGCTGAAAACCACTTTACCTTAGTTAGTGTACCCATTATAAAGATAGTCTTCCTGCTTAGTATTTTCCAATATGAATGAATTTTTAACAGTTGTCCGTAAGGGAGTCAAAATATTTCTGAAAGAAAGCATTTACAAAATAAATAAATAAAGCCATGACTCACTTCAAGAACATCATCTATGGTCAGTGCTGGGGAAATAAGGACAGAATAGAGTCTGGAAAAAATTATTCAGAAATATAAAAACTAAGGTGTTTGTGGGAAATAGTCATCAGGTGACAGCACTGTATAGTTGGAAGGTTATTGAATTGGGACACAGAGGACTAGAGTTCAATTCTTGGTTATGGTATTCACCTATATGATGTCAAGCAAGATATTTAAACTCTTTGGGAAGGATTAATGTTAATCTGTGCTTCCCACTTCCTGTCAAAAAAGTGGTGGATTCAAGATACAGAATAAGACATATGTTTGACATAGACAAGGTGAGAATTTGTTTTGTTTGACTATATATGTATTTGTTATTTGAGTTTTGTTTCTTCTTTTTTCTGTTAAATTTATGGGGGTAATAAGGAGGGAAAATAGATGAATATTAATTGAAAAACAGACTAAAATTAAAAAATTTGTGGCCCTTGTAAAATAAAGGGGTTAGACTAGATAGTAATTGCTAACTTTATATAACATTTTAAAGTTCACAAGGTGTTTTTCATGTATTGTTGCAATTAATCCTCACAACAATCCTGTGAGGTAGGCTTTTTTTTTTTAATTTCCATTCTACATATGTAGAAACTGAGGCCCAGATTTAAGTGACTTATCCAGGGGCACCCAGTTAGTAAGTCAGTCAAGTTTGAATCTAAAATTTTTTTTAATTCAAGTCAAGTCTCTATTCACTATATTTTTGGCCTCTAAGATGACCTCTGATATCTTTTCTAGGTCTATATCTATTCTCTAAATCTATGATCCTGAAATCATGAAGTGGGGAGCCTCGCCAGAACTAGGATTAAACACAGTTAGTAGTTGCTTACAGTGCAACATTAAACAATGAGGAAAATGTTTCAGTTGTATTTTTTAAAGAGTATAGTGGTTTCTTCTCAGCATTACAAGAATCTCAGACATGTCCAGAGGCCTTGGGATGGAAAATGCTATCCACATCCAAAGAAAGAACTGTGGAAGTTGAATCGCTATCACTTATTTTTACCTTCTGTTGAGTTTTATTTCATCTTCCTGATGGTTCCTCATATTGGTTTTAATTTTTACTTACAACTTCGCTAATGTGAAAATATGTTTAATACGAATGTAAATGTGAAGCCTATATCAGATTGTGCACCATCTCAGGGAGGGTCAGGGAGAGGAAGGGGGAGTAAAATTTTCAACTCGAAAGCATATGGAAGTGATTGTTGATAAATCAAAATACATTAATAAAATTTAAAGGAAAAAAAAGAGTGTAGTGGTTTGATCAGATGAATTTCTTGATTAACTGGATGAACTTACTAGAGAATGAGCCGTTGTTGAAAATTTAGTTGCATCTCATCAAATGGATATGAATTGGCTGGTTTGTACTGTCATGGCTTAGAGCTACCTCTTGCTTACTTGCTTATAAAATGGAGGCAGTTGCAGAGTAGGGAGTTCCCTGGTTAATAAATGCACGTGTTTTAAATGCTAGAATATCATAACTCCAGTAGAATACATGGGCCATTCCATCAGTTATCCTCCAATCTCATACTATGACCAGCTCATCTTCTTTTTCAATCATACCTTTCTTTGATGACACTTGGTACACCACATGTCCTTTATAGAATCCTGTTTTTTAAAGTAGTGCAGACTTCCTACAGCCACCATTTCTGTCTCTCTCCTTTGCTGTTAGAGTGATACTTGACTTTGAATCCTTGAAAACTGTAATGTTCCATGACTAAAAGTACAAGACTATTTTGGGGTGAAAGAAGAATTTCATGCTGAGTGGACCTTTTCCCAGTAGCATTTTGCTTTTGATGGTTAGATATTAATCATTTGAAAAGAATGACTGGATCTACAATTAGAAAGTTAACATTTCCATTTCAATAGAAAATTAATCATTGCCTTGAAAACGTGTGCACTGTTTATCCCTTCCAACTGTTTCCCTTCTCTTAATTATGCTAACTTGCTTTGTAGATACCCCCATTATTATATGTTGCCAACCATAAAGGTCACCATTTGCTTGTGTATATTAAATGCAATACACTCTAAACTCAACATTCCTATTTGGCTACTATTGTCTGCAGTGGGCATTACAGCCTTTCTATTTTTAACATACCCCCTTGGCATCTAAGGGAGCATATGTTGAGTTAAACTGAATCAAAATTTTGTTCTCTTTTCTCCTACTAGCTTATTCTCCACCAATGGAAAATCACATTCTCTCTGGCAACAATGGCACTTTAGAGTACAAATCTTCCCTGCCACCCATCTCTCCTGGAAGGTACTCACCAATTCCAAAGCACATGCTTGTTGAGGACGACTACACCAGGTCAGTCATCCTTATTGCTTAACTATGTTTTATGATCATTGCCATAAAGATGGTGACATTGCCTAAGATGTTAGCTATTGTGTGCCATGCTTTGGAGGATCTGAGTGCTACTCAGGTATTATGTGATGTTTCAGTCATGTCCAACTCTTTGTGACTCCTTCTGGGGCTTTCCTGGTAAAGGTACTGGAGTTATTTGCCATTTTTCTCTCTAGCTCATTTTACAGATGAGAACTGAGACAGACAGGGTTAAGTGACTTGCCCAGGGTCACACAGCTAATAAGTGCCTGAGGCCAGATTTGAACTCACAAAGATGAGTCTTCCTGGCTTCAGGCCTGGCACCCTATCTACTGTGCTACCCAACCACTCAGGTATACCATCCACATATAGCATCCTATAAAATATGACAGTAATAGCCCAATAGCAAAAGTATGAAAAGATGATGCCACAGTCCCAAGGAGATACAGAATGGGGTCAAGTTTGTTTGGGGACAAACAGCCTCTGGCCACTACAGTTTTAGGATAAAGGGTACAAACCAACCCTGCATGTAGGGATGGTATCAGGATGGGAAGCAATCAATTTAGTTGCAGAATGATTTAGTAGAAAGAACATTGAAATACCCAGGGTTCCAGTTCTGGCTTGGCTATTTATTAGCTGTATGACCTGATTTAAATTCTCTTGACCTCAATTTCCTCCTCTGTAAAGTATATATTTGGTGGGAGGGAGGAGAGTTGGTGAGCAGAGGGGTCAAACTTGATGCCCACAGGCCACAAGCAGCCAGCAAAACTCCCCAGTGCAGAACTAGAATAAAATGTTATTAGGAAATGTTACAAAATCAATAAAAATAAGTACGACATAGATAATGTTAATTTGTGGTTTTCTAAGTTAATATGCTTAGTATTCCTAAGTTAATATGTGGCTCACAGGGCTCTGTTTCTATTTCAGTGACACCACTGCCTAGGTGATCTCTTAGGTACCTTCCACTTCTAGAACCTGTGCTCTTATTTTTTTAAAAAATTTTAATTTTGTTTATTTTTTTTAATTTATGGAATAAAATAAGCATTTCCATAACACGATATAATAAAAAAGATGATTGCACGTGAAATTGCAAATCTATTACATACAACTTGCTATTCCTTTTAAATATATGATTAGGTTATCATGTAAATTTCTTTTTTTTCCTCTCTCCCAGGTGGAAAAAATTTTATAATATTAGGTCATAAAAAACCGTGTTCTTCTGATGTCAGTTTTATTAACTCTTAGTATGTGTCAGTATCCTAATCCTTGGGAAGATAAAGACAAAAGGAAAACCCTGCCCTCAAGGATCTTGCATTTCATTGAGTCAGACAACATGTGTATATATATATATATATATATATATATATATATATATATATATATATAACTTATACAAAATGAATGTAAAATAATTATGAGAAAGAAGGAAATAATAGCCAGTGGGACCTGCTATCCTATAGCCCTGTGGATATTGGGAAAATACTGCCTACTTTTGACTGAGGCAATTCTTTGCATAACTCTCTCCCTAAATAATCTCACTTCCTGGAAATAAGAGTCATAGCTCACAATGGGTCACTGGGGCTAGGCTCTAGGGCACTGCTACTTAGGAGGGCACTTTATCTTAGCAGTCATGTGCCATGTGGCTTGGGGCTAGCAGAAGACTATGAAGGTGAGGCCATGGAAAGGACACACCTCCCAATTACATTAGGAGAGAGAGAGAGAGAGAGAGAGAGAGAGAGAGAAAGAGAGACAGAGAGAGAGAGAGAGAGAGAGAGAGAGAGAGAGAGAGAGAGAGAGAGAGAGAGAGAGAGAGAGAGAGAGAGAGAGAGAGAGTGTTGTGTGTGTGTGTGTGTAGGGGAGTGGGGTTGATCTAGGCTTCCTCCTCCTGAGAGTCTTTATGCCATCATTTTCTTCTCCTGGGATCCCTTCTTGGACCACTTCATCAGTGTAACAGCAACCAACCAGGGTAAACTGCTCAAGCTGCTTGGCTTGAGGACCCAACCACATTGGACACATCAGATCAGTGACAATAGTGGCGTTTGCTAGTTTGAGGTTGTCTCTGTTTCCCAACCCTATCCCATTTCCATCACCAGCTAATTTGCCCCAGGTTCTGGAATCCCCAGCTATGGCTTTGTTGGGAAGCCATCACTATCTCAACACTAACATCGTGATTTTAACACTGAAGATACTTAATACTTGTTATGGGCAGTTCAGTTAGTGTACAAATATAGCAATCACTCTATATCTAGAGATTGGTCTGAGTGTCTGACTGCTTTTGAGTCTGTTTTGGGAAAGGAAAATGTGTCCTCTGAGTACCCTTTAACATTTCCAACTCATTTGTCCACAGCCTATTGCCAATACACCTGTCCCAGAATGTTGGCATTAGAAGTGACTTTGGAGATTATTTAGCACATTGATCTTCAAAACGGGGACCACAGCATGACCCCAAAGAATCTGTAGCCTAACCCTACAGGGTCAACCAATCAGAGGGCAGGGAGGTGGAACACATCTCACTCTACCCACAGAAGCTAATTATGAGCTTGTCTCCAACACAGACACACTACTGTCTTTGCCCAATACACCTCAATGCCACAGCATTCTACCCCTTTGTGCCCCTGGTCTCTCATTGCTTATTCAGCCATCAGCTCCTCAAAATACATATAAAATAACCTGAACTCAGGTCCTGCAGCTGAGCAGGCAAAATCCCTATCCCTCACTCCCACCCACAGCATATCCATGCCCTGTCACCCAGATCACTTCAGGGCTGCTTCTTCAGTGAGTGCTTTCTGTGCTCTGAGGTAGTGAATGGTGAGTAAGATTCACCTCCACCTAAACCCCATACGCACGCGCACGTGCACACACACACACACACTCTCACTCATTTCTTTTTTTTTCCTTTTAGTGAAAAAAAAATTAAGTAGCACAGGATGAACAGGTATGGATTTTTTGTACTCTACATTGAAGATTACATTACATTATCTTTTCCTCAAAACCTACCCCTCTTCTGAACTTCCCTGTTTCCACTGGAGGGATCATTTTCCTTCAACAGTCTCCCAGGTTCTCAACTTACTAGTTGCCTTGTTTTCTTGACTCTTCACTCAACTGAATCTGCTCTCTTTGCAGTTACCAGTCTCTCTCTGTCTCTCTTTCTCTCTCTTTCTCTGTCTCTCTCTCTTTCTCTTTCTCTTTCTCTCCCCCTCCCTCCTTCCCTCCTTTCCTTTTCTCTTCTTACCCCTTTCTCTCCTCTCCCTTCCTTTCTCTCTTTTCTTTCCCTATCTTCCTCTTCCTCTGTGCTCCTTCCTCTTCCCTTCTCTTTTTCTCCCTCTCTTTTCTCTCTATGTGTTCCCCTCCCTTCCCCTTCTCTTTCTCTTGTTGAAAAAGATAACTCTTGTTCCTTTTCAAAAAAAAACACCTTGGAAACAGAACCAATTAACCTGTTTTAAAAAACACTACAAACGAATAGTTGAAATAGGTTTTAAACCCATTTGTTTAAAAATTTATAAATACTAACCTTTAGTAATTGAGAGAACAATAGAATGATATCAGGGAAGATGGAAATTTACTGGATGAATTCTATCCAAAACATTTGCATAATTAGTGGATGGGATTTAAAAATAAATATCATCATCTAGTAAACACAGCCAGTGAAATATAACTTTCCATTTTGATCTCCATCACTTTCTGAGGTATTTTTTTATCTGTGATTGACATGAAAAATATGTATCAATACAGCATGTCCTAAAAGTCTCAGGGTAGCACTGAGCCCTTTGGGACATCCTTTATAAAATGAATTTAAAATTAAACTTTCAAATCATTGTCTTTCAATCTTTAACCAAGATTTAAAAGGAAAAAAAATAGATTCAATCAGATTGAAGTCATTTATTATTCCTCATATTTATTGTAGGTTTATTGTATTATTTTACCATTTTACCATTTGTTTATTGTACCATAAATGTTTTTTTCAAAATATGACTTCCTCTTAATCTTTTTTTAACATTTCTTTTCTGTGTCTTTTTTTTTAATTTTTTTAGGCAACTGGGGTTAAGTGGCTTGCCCAGGGTCACACAGCTAGTAAGTGTCAAATGTTAGGTCTGAGGCCAGATTTGAACTCAGGTCCTCCTGACTTCAGGGCCGGTGCTCTATCCACTGCACCACCTAGCTGCCCCTCTGTGTAAGTCTTATAATATATGTAATCCTTAGTATAGCAGTAAAGGTATATAACTTAAAAGTCACTGAATGTGAATATATGGGAGTATCTGCTCACAATTTTTACTGACATGGGTACATGAACAAAAAAGTTTAGACATTTCTTCCCAGTGCCATCCTTTCATTGTAGAGATTTGGGAAGTGATATGCAAAAATTTGAGTAACTTATCTATGTTTATACAGGGAATAAGTGGCATAGCTTGAATATGAACCAAGGTCCTGTGCCTCCTGTTCTTCTCCTCTGCTTTATACCATATCGTTTTTGACTCTTAGACAGTTCCTTCGTATTTTCCCTTCTCAAAAGCCTCTAGTCAGTCAGTAAGTTAATGAGCATTTATGAAGCAATTATCTTGTGCCAGGCACTCTTAAGTCTTGGAAATACAAATACAGCAAGTACTGCCCTCAACAGGCTTACATTCTAGCGGAAGAAGAAAACACATAAAAGGAAAACTGAAAAAAGCGTGAAAGAAATTGGAGGACGACAGTTCGGGGTAGAGGCTGGAGAGAAATGAACCCAAGAGATTGACTTTGTTCTGAAGATGGTAACTCACAGAAACAACCAAAAGAGTTTAGTTATCACTTGTAGTTTGTTTGGTATCAATATACGCTTATAATAATTGTTATAAACTATAATTATTATTGCTGTTTTCATAATTAATTATACTACTGGCGTAATAGGCATCATCTCAAAACTAACTTCCTGAGATTACCTTTTTACCAGGAAATACTATATGTAAAACAATTGTATTTTTTATTATTGTTATTACCTGAAATTGCAA